TAAAATAAAACTGTTTTTATTGATAAAAAAATATGAAAAGAAAGAAGGAAAATCATCTTCATTCACAGGTAACATGGTTGTGTACACTGAAAATTCAATGAAATCTCCCCAAAACTAGTAGGACTAATAAGTGAATTTAGCAAGGTCACAAGATACTACCAGGAGATGATTCTTCCTGGGTCTTTCATGTTTCTGCCTGCCCTGGAAGCAGGGACCCCGACTGCCTTTGTTCTGAACTATACAGGATTATACACATGTGTATATATATATATAAGTATGTGTGTACATGTGTGTATATATACATAGATGTACTGTGATCAACCCTGGATGACACCGATAGTGTTTGTCTCCAGAGCAAACGGTAGGTTTGTTTACTACTCAGCATAGTAAAGATAATGTTTCCCTTAGGGCCAAAGTTCAGGCAGGTTTACTGCTCATTTTAAAGGAATTGGGTTCCTTAAGCTTGGGTGTCCTCTCTGCAACACACTCTATTGGATGTGCAGGCCTCACTTTGTCCTCTTCACTCCGCCTTATAGGAATCAGGATTTGGGGAACCAAAAGCTCATACTGATTTATTGCTATTGCTGTGAGTAATAAACTGGCCTTTGTCTCTGACCTAGCATTTGCATGCCTTCCGCCAGCATCCATGAAACCTGTTATTTTGCAGGTAGGGTAGAACCTTGAGCCTTTAAAGTTCTTGACAGATAAAAGATACAAATACATCAGCCACAACAAACTTAAAGGAAATTAATAATCTATTCATTTAAAATAACATGAAAGGCATAACATAAAATAACATTACAATATCCATGTAATGGACTATTATGTGCTCATCATAATTCATGACTTCAAAAATATTTAATGTCATTGGGAAGTGTTCATGTATTAAGTTATGTGAAAAGAGATACAAATTTGAATGTGCAATATGCTATGTAACACAAAATACAGGTACATAAATTAAAACATTAACACTATAACAACATTGTAACAATATACCTGCTAGCAGTAGGATCATAACTAATTTTAATTTTATTGCTTTGCTTTATTTCCTAAATTTGCTATTATGAGTATGTATTTCCTTTACTATTATAAACTTATTAAAATGTTTTAAATTCCATTTTCCAAAAATAAAATAAAATAACATGCGAGGCATAATATAGTGATAAATTTATAAGATGTGTCTAAGACCTGTACACTGAAAGCTACAAGACCTTGCTGAGAGATACTAAAGACCTAAGTAAATGCAGGGAGATTCTGTGTTCCTGGATAGGAAAATATTCACTTTTCCCCAATCAGCCACTTGAATCTTGAGTGGAACAGAAGAGAGAAATGGCCTGTCCCTTCCATGGAAGGTATCCTCTCTTCCTCCCAGGACAATGCCCATGAGACTGTCTGTGAGCTCCCATAACAGAGATCCCAAGAGCATCTCTGGTTCCTATCTTCCCCTTCTCTTCTGCTCCCATGTGCTCCCTCACGCATCCAGTGAATTCCCTTTCTGTGTCTAGTAGTCAAGTCGATTTCTAAAGAAACTTGTCTGGTGTAATAAATCTTGAGGAATCAGGATTTGTTGGTACGCTGCAAACCTGCCCAAGAGAGGGAGGGTGGTCACAAACCCAAGTGACTGATTGAAGCCATCAGAGGGCGAAACTGCTCTTTC